CCCAGTGGCGGCGGCGCCGCTCCCGCCCCGCGAACTCGGAGCGCTCGGTGGGTGCGAGTGTGCGGCCGGGCCCTGCCCTGCCCTGCCCTGCCCGACAGGGTGTCCCCCCGGGGCATCCCGGAGCCGCCTGCCCCCGGAGCCGCGAGCCCGGGGCGGGCAGAGCGTTCCCCTCGCGTTTCCCGCTCATTTCCCTCCTGCCCGGCCTCCTCTGGGGAGCTGCCGGCTCGTTGCCCTGGGGTGCTCCACATTTCGTGAAATCCTGCCATCCTGTTGCTTGGTCCTTTCCTTTTTATTTTCAGGGAAAGCTGAGAGCTTACACTGTGCTATTCCGCTGGTAGAACTGCGTGGCTAAACTAGCGATCACGTCTACAAAAATAAAGCTGCTCGTTTACTTGTATTTCGAATTGCTGAGTGAAGTAAATTCCTTTGGTCGGACTGTAAGGGAGGCTGCTACTGGCATAAATACATCAGCAGAATAGAGCTTCATAAGCTGTGTTGTTAGGCTGTAAAAGAAGGTCTTGGATAGCACAGATGATTTTTCTTTTCCCTCAGATCCTGATAGGATTCCCTGTTAGTTGTTCAGTAAAGATCTCACTTGTCCTGGTATTCATCTGTAGGATTAGTTTTAAATCTTACTCTAGTCCTTATCAAAGGTAGTATTATTTTTTAAAAACAATCTAAGGCACATTTATACTGAGGCAATTTCTTCTTCGGTCCTGTGACAGAACAGGGAAGTTAGTCCTTTAGGGCAGGGGGTGTAAAATGTAAATATTGATGTTTGTGGTGCGAAGTGTTCTCGTTTTAGCGAGTCCTGCTGCCAGTGGTGCTCACACCACAGCTCAGACAGAACGTGAGCCTGAAGGAGTCTGAGCACCTGACAGCTTCTGCAGCACGGCAAACTTCAGAGTGCAGCAGCTACAGTCGTACCGGCTTTATTTAAATTGTCGAGCTATACTGATTTATATCGGTTAGTAACCGTACGTTTTTAATGTGAATGAAGACTGTACCCAAATTCCCTTCTGTGGACGAGTTTGAAAACCAAATAGCTGCAAGCAGGGCTGCGGGCTGGCTTGCTGTGAAGTGTAGAGAAGCATGGTAAGGACGAGGGAGCTGGTTTAACATAGAGTTTTCCAGAGTGTCCTAAAATGCTTTGCCCTGATGACTCTTAACCTTTTCTGCGCCCCGACGTTGTGCAGGCTTATTTTATACTATTTAAGATTGTTTAAGATTTAAATATACACAAAACCTGATATGGACCCACATAAGGTAATTTCCACTGACCATAATTGGTTCAGTGCAAATTGATTTCTTATCAATTTTCAGCTAAATCAATGTTAGCAGGCTGTAAACTGATTTGTCTGTGTCAGCATAGCAGATTGTATTCATTTAATGGATTTCAGTTAAAAGCTTAGCTTGAAACTTTCAAACTTCCTTCTGTAGGTAAGACTCATTCTTGGTCCTTTTTTGCCCAAACTTGTGCTCCTGGAATTATTTGCTGTTGGAGAGAACAGCAAACCTTGTTATTTTGTGTTGAAAGATTTGTTTTGATGCAAAGCCATGTGTAAATGCTTTTGTTTGTCAGAAGCATGTTGATCAGTTTATTTTCAATCCCAGTATAATTAGTCCAAGATGGACTCAGTTGTCTGTACTGATTTAACTAAAGATAAAGATAAGTGTTGCCTTTTATGAATGTGGTGTAATTTTTAAAGTCAACAAAACTTAATAGTTCTAGTATTTCCTTCTTAAATTTTGTTTATACTTATTAAGCTTTAATGTTTTCCAAGGAAAAATTTAAATGTAATTTTAAAAAATAATCTTTAATGCTCCCCAATGTTTCATTAGTATGAGTCTTTTGTGTAGCACTGTAAGCAAAAAAGCTGCATAAATGGAAACATTATGTGCAAATGAAGTGATGGAAATTTAGTGTGCATGTGAATTGGGCTCTTAGCTAACTCTTAAAACACTTTGCAATTTTTGCACTCAGAAGATACTGAATTACATGGAAATCACTAATTAAACAACACTGAAATATTAAGATGTTTTAATCTCCATTTTCTGGGGATTAAGTATTATTTTTTAAGGCAACTAGTAGTTTTGCTACTACTGCCAGAATTCTCTCTTAATTTTTTAAAAAATATTTTAAAATAAATTATTCTCTGTTAACAGCTGGCTGTGTTCTTTAACTGTATTTTGGATGGGATTTTCTTTTACTTCATTGCCATCTGTAGAAACTGATGAATATTTTTAGGTAAGTTTTTACACTCAATTTTCAATGATTTGTGAAGTTTTCCTTTTATCATCCTCTCTATGTCTAATACAGGTGTTTTATCTAATGCATTTACTTACAATTGTTGTTACCAAGTCATGTCTCTTGTAGCTATGTCTGTGTGATTTAATTAACATTTAAAATGCACAAGACTATGAAAGAAATATTAACGATACAATGGCCAGGTTCAAACCTAGAAATGCTGGAATTGAAACAGTTTTGTAAAACTCTTCTGCATTCTGGAGAGTAATAGTAATAGTAAGATATTTTTTAGAAATAAGGTAAAACATTACCAAAAAATACTAAAATAGAATTAAAAGGATCAAAAGTTATTTTTTAAAGTATTTGAGAAATTTATAATATATTTTTTTAAAATATACAGATATAAATATGAGTGAGAACTATTAAAATTGTAGTTTAGAAAATTAATACTGGGTTGTGGAATTTTTTATTCCTAATGCTAATGTCCCAGATATAATTTTTCACTGTTCATTTCTAAACTTCAGTCATGTAATACTGCATGGATATTAAATGTCATGAAGAAACTAATCTATAAATTCTACTTATAATCCAAATTTTCTTTTTGCTGTGGTGACAACTTTCTTTCTAAAGGAGAAATTTTACCTTCTGTGGAAGTGGCTTAATTTTTTATTGCTTATTTTTAATTTCTCAGCAGCTTAGTTGGTTTTTAAGTTGAAGTTGGGTAATGAATCATTAATTGATTTCTACAACCTTCAGCATGTTTTTAATAGGTAGGATGCAATAACACATCCTGTACTCAAGTGCCTGCTGCCTATAAAGAGAGACAAATGATCTGTAGCTTGCATGTAATATGTATTAGTAATCTTTGTGAACTATTAACGAGTCAAATATTAATAAAAATTGTGAACAGAAAGTTCTTTTTCCTTCATTTTCCCTAAATAGGTTAACAGTATGAGCAGGTACTGTAGATTTGGTGGGGACACTGGGAGTTCAGGCCTCCTCTGGTGTGTGTGCACGGTCACATCTGAGGTTGGTGCACTCTGGTGCCCACAGGAGTTCAGGGCTCCATCACTGACCACAGGGGCACAGTGGCATCATAATGGCACCCCCAGAGCTGAGGGACCCTGGAAGATCTGAACTCATCCACCACCTGAGCACCACTTTTGGAGGGTTTTCTTCTGACAGCTGTTACATGGCCCAGGGTACAGAGAATCTCTGTTTAAAAACAAAGCCAAACAAAACTAAGCCACAAACCAAACAACCACAATGGGCACGCACACATGGTGCAAAGACTTTGGCATATTGGCTGTAAATTCAGCAGAGTTGATGTCTGAATTATTGCAAAGTGACCAGAAGAGTTGTGTTCCTGGTGCATGAGAAGTAACATTGCTGGATTTTTCTACCTTAACACAAATCTGTCTTTCTCTTGATCAAACAGAGATTTTGTGACAGTAATATGTGTGTTTTCTACTCACTAATGTCACTGAGTGGAGAAGAAGAGGCAGATTGATATTCTAAAGAGGAGATGACCTATGTAACAATTCAAGTTCTACCAAAGCAAACCTTGTACTCTTAAAGTTAATTCATTGCAACATTAAAAAAACCTCAACCTGGACACCAGCACCCCTTCCCCCCACTAGATTTAAACATTAAGCTGATCTTCTTGTGAGTTTTTTTAATGAGGTAAGCATTTAGTCAAGTGTAACACTTTAGTCAAGGGAAACAAGTACTACTGAAAATAAATGTTTTCTTTTTCTCTCGTATGACTTTATTTTGCATCTGTTCATTATAACCTAATAATCAAGTAATACATTTTGAACAAGAAGTTAGCAACCATAATGATGACTTTGTTTTCTAGGCTCAGTGCAGATGGGTGAATCCATCTGCATCCTTTGTCCATCCTTTCCATGTCAGAATGACTGAGGAATGCTCTTCCATGCCAAATCTCTTGCATAATTACAAGAGTTTTTCTCATTAGGCTTATTTCTATGAATTATTGTCACATAGTTTGCTTCAAATATTTCAGCTTGTTTTACAACATCCTTGTGAATTTTTTTCTGTATTTTCACAGAACTGAATTCTTAATAGCTGTCAGTATACAGACTAAAATTTTCTCCTTTTTGTCCTCCCAAGAATTGAATAGTGCTTCAAAGAAAATAACCCTGGAAATACTGGTGAAAGGAGAATGATGTCTTATGGTGTTGATTTTTTGAATCATTAATTGTATAAAATATAATTCTTTACGGAAGGAAAATGCTGATAAATTTTTATCTTAATGGCATTTTTCATATGTAAAATGTAAATTTCAAACATGAATTTATCAGTAATAAGTGTAAGAGGCAACTAAACACTTTGTTTCTTGTATGGAGTTTTTTCTGCTGTTTAACAAATTCATTTTGATATCTGGCCTGCTTTTGGAAACCTTATCCAAACTGATTTTTAGGCAGCAGCAGAGTCTCTGGGTGGCCTTAGTAGCATATATGCTTATAATACTGACCATATCCAGTGTCTACAGATACTTGAGTAGAGAAAGAAGAAATTGTCTTTATTCATTCTGCTCACATAAACACAAGTACTCTCTGCACATGCCTGTATTCATTCAGTTGCACACTGTAGGGCTAAACTACCCCATCTCTGAATAAAATGATACACCCCTGATTCCAGCTGTGTGGACTCTATTGTCCATACCAGTGCCACACAAATTGGAGCTTCCTGTTACTCAAAAACAGGCAGGCATTTATTTTTTGTTGTTTTTTTTTAGTTCAATGTTGGTGAGGATTGTGTTGGAACCCATGAGAATGGTCCTCAGGCTCATGCTTGAAAAAAATGTTAGAAACTTTTGGCCTGTCATGAAGTCCTTTAGAGCTGTCCTGTCAGGCTGGGATGGTGTTGAGGAATTAGCTAATTTGAATTTAGGGTAGTCATGTGCCCAGTATGAATGAGAAGGGAACAATGGCCCAAAATGGGAAACTGGTCACTTAGATCATGACACAAATGATGGAAAGATCCTGCATCTTTGGATGAAGGAGGCTTCTCCATGAAGTAATCAAGCAACAGGAATCATGGTTACAGTTGGTGTTTTTCTACTTTCCTTATAGAATGATACAACTATGTCTTTTTGCTCAACTTGCAATCTACCCTTATCTGTACAGAGTAGCCATGCTAAAGCACTAACACAGCTATGGTGAAAAATTTGGACCTTAATTGGATAAAAGCCTTTTGAATGTTTTGAGTCCTGTTGGAAAGGTGTTACTCTTCTCCATATAATAGATACATACTTTTAATAGACCATGTGCATTTTTTTCATGGCCTGTAATCCCATTTATTTACAATAATGGGCCAGATACTGTTTTTCAAGTTGCTTACTGTCTGATTTGGGAGAATATCAAGTATTGCTCTGAAATGGCCTTTTCCTTTTATAGTTGCTTGACATACAGGGTCTGGCCTCTGTGTGTGTTAGGCAAAGGAGCTAGAAATACACCACAGTTAAATTATGGGTTTGTATCTCCAGGTGGTGCATGAATTCGTGGTTGAAGACTGAAGAAATTAATTTTACTAAAGCAAGAAACAACAGGACATTAAGCTACTATGCCAGCTTTAGATGTATGCTTCAAAAAATTTTTGCTGCTCAGCATTATTCAGTAATCTTTAACTCAAATTGCAGGAAATATTTGAAATTCCATTCTAACAATATCCAACAGAGAATATTAAAGAAGCATTAAATTTCAAATGCCTGAGGGAAAATGTTCTCTTGCAGCACCATGGGCATTTGAATCTCACTAGTAGATGCAGTATTATAGTCTCATATTATGCTTTACTTGGTCTAAAATGAAAGCCCAATTTTAGTTCTATCTCCAAAAACTTGGCATACTGCAGTGAAAAATAATTTATTTGAGTGTTGTTTTTTTAATACACTGCAACTAACTTTAAAGCTTCCTCATATAATACTCCCACTATGGCTTTTTGTAATCTGACCCTTTTATTAAGACTTCAAATATATTCCCAAAGACTTATCTCATTGCTTTCTTTGCTAATTTACAAGTTAAAAGATTCCAAAGTTACCTAATAAGTTTTTCTCATTCTATGCAATTTTTCTCTTAATAAGACAGAATTTTTGAGTATCTTTATACTTACTTATAGTAAGTATATAAAACATCAAACAGAAGAACTAATACATTCTTAAGAAACAGGTAATATATAAACTGAAAATGGGACTTAATAATATATGCACACAATTCTGGGCTGGGTAATTTGGCAAACCTGTTAGTGAACTTCTGTAAAAAAAATGCTGATTAAACCTGTGGGGGTTTATAACCTATATATATGCTGTATTTGATAGGAAAGCTATTTTGGAAGTGAATCCCCAGCTTACAAGATTTGGGGAAAGAATAAAAGTGTATCTAAAAGGTTTATAAAATCACTAGCTTGAACATATTTCTTACCAAGTATTTCAGTGTTGCCAGAGCAAGGACAAGTGACATGTTTCTGTTGGAAAAATAAGATCTGTGGTCTTTAGAGAAATAGAATAGGGCTCTTTTCCACCTGCTGCTCACTTTTTTTCTGTTTGCACTTGACGGTCATAGAGTTGTGGCCAGGAGAATGCCAATACTGTGACATTTCATACCTTTGTGGAGTTTCACAAGAGGAAGATTTTTAACAGTAGTGGGTCAGTTGCCTATGAAATTGGACCACTTGTGACTTGCCTGACAAACTGGATTGGGGAGAATGCGATTTAGGGACTTGAAACCTGAAGGGAAAATTCAGAAGAGCAGCATACTGCAGATGGTTTACTTGTTCAATGTAGCTGTGTGGGACATAAATTAGTGAAGTGTCATTAATGGTACCAGTAGTTTAACTGCAATGCTAGGCTCTGTCCTTGCCAAATAAATGTCACTGATTCCTATAATGAAAGCTGGGACCCCTCTGCAGTGCTGGTGGACATCAGCTTGCCTGCTGATGGCCACTGGTGGGCTCTGAGTCGCCACATCCCTTTTCATGTG